AATAGATCTGTCCTAACCTGTTCAAGAAGCATATTAGATGAAGAGAATCTAGAACTAAATGTAAATTGATCTCATGAAAGTTACAGTAGATATGTTTTTTTCTTATTTTCCTAAATTATCTATATACATATAAGCACAGATGCCCAAAATAATCCTGGGCATTTTCTAATGACTTCACATTCACACAAAGACGTCTAGAGTTTGTTTAAATGTTGAAAGATTTTACCAGGATGGTGTCAAAGGAAGGAGTAACATTTAGTTTTATGTTATCACGTACATAAATGCAGAGTTTTGCCATGTAAGGTCCGAGAGGCGATTCACACACAGAGCAGGTTACTAGTTCTTATGGAGCTCCAACAGTTTGTTCAGTATCAGCTCTGAAGGCCTTGGATGATTCCTGGTTTTAAATAGTTCACTGCCAGGCCTCTGCAGAACCGGTTGCATCATTCCTGATGATATACATTTTTCTGTACTTGAGTCTCTGTCTTTATCGTTACAGAATCATACATCCTTCAGGGAGACATCCTGGTACCGAAAACCACAAACAAGAACGCAGATCCATGTGTTCTGAAAGGCTGCCTGTGGCCCAAACATGGACGCTACGTCACTGTGCCGTACGACATCTCTGATAGCTACAGTAAGACGTTTTGCTTGAAAAGCTTTTAAGGCATGGATAAAAAATACAATGGTTTAAAGCAGGGGTGTCCAAAGTCGGTTCTGGAGGCCCAGCATCCTGCACGTTTTAGTTCTCACTGGTTGTAGTAACAACCTCTCCAGCTTGTCAATGTTCCTCTTAAGGTTTCTAACGAGCCATCATTTGATCCAGGTGTGTTAAACCAGGGAGGGAACTAAAACATGCAGGATGCCGGGTCTCCAGGACCCACTTTGGGTACCACTGTTTAAAGGTATCGCAGTGTGAACACAAAGTTAAAGGAGCTACTATTGTGCTCTTCATTAAATTCTCCAAGTGTATTTCTGCTATTGCGTTTACATACTTTCTCTTAGCTGCTTAACAGACATGTTGCTCATGATTTACAAAATATAATATAAAAAAACTGCCAGTTTCTCTGAAAGCTCATTGAAGGAACATCTTGGCTCCTTTGTAGACGTTTTTTAAAAACCTTGGTGTACCTGGAAGTAACCGACCCACGCCCACTTATTCATGTTTCATTAATCAATAATTAACTAAACAGATTTAAATGTTTTTGTAGCTCAAGAAGAACGCAAGATCATTCTTGGAGGGCTTCAGAGTTTTAAGCGGACCACCTGCATTCGCTTTGTCCCATATAGTAACAAGTATCGTGACTACATCCACTTTGAACCAAAGAATGGGTAGGAACACACTCCTCATATATATTCATGGAGTTTGCATGACTGCATCCATCAATAGTTGATTCTATTGGTTGAACATGTTGGCTTAAGTATGTTGTAATTAACTAAAAGTTGCTGTTTTGATATATAAAAATCTTATGTTTTGTTATATTTTTCACCCATGAAATCCACCATTCTTCACTTGCACAGTGCATGCAACAGGTTGATGTTGCATTTGGGTTCCTTCTGTACTGAAATCTACAGATAAAGCACAGGAAGAGTTGTCATCATATTACATTTGATTAACATCCTGCCTGTTTTTCTCTGGTCTCCATGTTGAACATGTCAGGTGTTCGTCCAGCGTGGGACGTCAGGATGGAGGACAGTTCATCTCCCTGGAGAAACCTGGCTGTTTGTCCCTCCGCGCAATTCAGCATGAGGTTCTTCACGCTCTGGGCTTCAAACATGAACAGGTCCGCTCTGACAGAGACGAACATGTTGAGATTCTCTTCAAAAACATTGAGAAAGGTAAGTTTGAAGTTAAAAGAATCTGTTTCATAATTATTTACTGTATTTTTTTTTGTTTTAGCAAATCTGTATTTTTGAAATATTGGAATTATCCCCAAAACATTGAGTCAGGTCAGCGTTCCAGTTTAATTGATTTTACTAAAGTTTTCAAGCTACATAGCAAATATTTAAGGTTAAATGTTTGAAAATAACTGATAAATACTTTATCTTTTCTTGACTGGTGTATAGGAAAAGAGAATAATTTCAGAAAAGTAAAAACCAACAACTTGGGAACTCCCTACGACTTCACCTCCATCATGGAGTACGGAAAGTGAGTTGCAGGAAACTTCTCTCCCACAATGTGATTTATTCAAACTTATGAAATGCAGGGAGATGTAGCCCGCCATGGTTGATTAATATTTCTGATTGAACTACAGAATAAACAGAACTATGGTGAAATAAACAGTTTAAGCATCTTGAAGAATTAATCAAAAATATTAAGTATGTATTGGTGTCTTCTTTAAGATATGCATTCTCCAAAAATAAGTTGCCTACCATCGTTGCCAAGTCCAATCCTAAGTACGACTGGGGGCGAGCCACTAAGATGAGTACCAATGACATCACCCGCGTCAACAGGCTTTATGGATGCTGTGAGTAATAAAAAATGTTTTAGTCTTAAAATTCTCTGAAACTGTTTATGTAGTCTCTAAATGTCTCTATTTTCTCAGTATAAAATGACTTGGAGAAATCAGCTCAACAAAAGCCAAGAATTGATCTGACACATTTTTAAAAAGATCTGGAGCCACCTGCTGGTCAAAGGTTGCACTGCATCTCCTGTTGATGGGAGGTTCCTCAGCCAACTTCATGCAACTTTGATTTGAATTTGCTTATTGCTTTTTACTTTACATGAAGCCTCTGTGTAAAAGAATAAAATTATCATTTTTATTAAAGTTGTATTCATCTCATTAATATGCACTGAGTTCCAACAGTACAAACACTGTGATATTCTATAATCCATAATTTAATGGTTATCATTGAACATTTGGATAAAGGCAATCTGCTTGACAGTTTACTTTTCCATGAAAATCCTGCTTGCAGTGTCATAAAAACCAAGCTAGCTTCAGTTCACTAAAGTTCAGGTTCACAGACGACTCCATTACAAAGGCCCACAAGACCGAAGTTTATAGCCTTGTTGGTAAAAGGGACAAAAGCTGAAAACATCTCTACTCCCAGCTAGATAAGCCAGACAAAAACTGCTTTATGAGATCATCTGTCTGCAGACCTTACCAAATAGTCACATATTTAATGCTGTAAGTGAATAAGTGGACCATAGACTTATCTCATTTGCTTTATTCTTAGCTAAATTCAGTGAAAATGCTTCATATTTTCACAAAATACCTTTTAAAAAGTCAAATCAATTCAAGTTTATTTGCATAGCACATTTCAGTAACAAGGCAGCTCAAAGTGCTTCACCTCATCAGTCACCGGTTACAAAACAAGCAAACAAAATCAACCAAATACACATCTGACATGTTGGTCAAAGTTCCACTAATCAAAGGCAACTCTAGTAAAGGTGTAGCCATACTATGCTCGTCGCTGGCTCTGTTAGCATATTTCCACTGTATCGTTGCTTTAGTTTCTCTACTTGCTTTCTGCAGGTTGTCCTTTGGACTGTTATGGTTTCCTGAATGTGGTTGCTGCTCTCCGTGCTTCTTCTTTACTGCTGCGCGGTTGCAGAGCGACAGTCTGGGGTTGAGCCACTGATCTGCACATTGAATTGGCTTAAAATATGAATGTTGTGCAAATAACAAAGAATGGCCTAGTCAAAGTAGAGATTTAAACCAAGTTATGTTGTGGCATAACCTTAAACAGTACAATGATGCTCAAAAACCTTGTAATATGTTTCAGTTAAAGTAAATGAAAGAAGATTGGGTCAGTATTGATTAGTCAGTTATCATGAATGCTAAATGCTTTTCTGCATACAGCCAGGTTGCTTTAGTTTGTCTCTAAAATTAAAATATTGACAATCCCTTGTCAGGTAGCAGACAGACATTGTATTTTATTAGCTTTTATCTTATGGACCAACACAGGAACTGAAGATGGAGGAAAATTGGTTTATAGTTTTCAGTTTTTATATCACCCTAAAAAACCTAAAATTTCTAACTAAACTTCTGTTTAACTCTCAGTCCCTCCACAGACTTCCTGCTCAGATCAGGCGATGTTTTGAAATCACCTTTGTGGTTTTAAGTGAATGAGAAAGTTCTAACCACAGACTGACACACTTAACTATCCGTTTGTGTTTTAAAGCTGACGTGTTTGCTTTGTTAGCGCCCTTAAATTTTTCATATTATTACATACATTTCAATATCAATATTGGTAATTTTCAAATAATGATTTTGTTTATTGACCTGCGTGTTACAGCAGCATTGCATGCACAAGCATATCCAGCACCTTTTCTGCAATCTGAAAGTTCCCGTAGCTTCTGACCATTACCAATAATGTGAGAATTGACTTTTAACCAAGCGAGACATTTCCTGCCACTGAAATTATGAGTGGGTGTTTTTTCCTCTTATGTGGAAAAGACAGGAAAAAACAGCTGTGGTCACTTCTAGTGGTTGAACTGGTTATAAAGAGCAGAGCATCGGTTTCATGGAGCGTCAAACAGCCACTTCTTCAGTCCTCTCTGACTTCATCTCTCATCAGGTAATGTTGCACATTGTGAATCTGCACATTACTGGCAAAGAAAACATAATTTAACTGTTTTACTTTCATCTGCTCAGGTGTTGAGTTTCAAAGAAACTCCACAATGACTCCAAATGTTCTCTGCCTGCTCTTTCTTTTGATGGCCGACGGGTCTCTGGTGGGTTTTACTGTCATTTCTAACAATGTGATGTTGAATATTTTTCAAAGTGTAAAAATTTAGAAAGAAAAAATGAAAGGAAAAAGTTTGTATTCTGTTTTCCTCTCACTGCGAGAGCATGAGATGTCATAAAACAAGAAAAATAGCATTAGTTTAATTAATTGTGTGTTTTGGCTTAAAAATAAGCAGACTAAGGAATATAAACATTTGTGACTTTGTGTGTCTGTGTTGCAGAGTGCACCAGCTAAAAATGAGGATCCAGTTGGTGAGTTGAATCAAATCACATATTATTACATATTATTATGTTTGACCAGAGTTGGGTAGTAACTAGTTACATTCCTTGAGTAACTTTAAAAAAAACAAAAAAAACAAAAAAAAACTGAGAAATATTTTTACTACACTTTTCACTTTTTAGTAAAATTTTATTTTGAAGTACATCTACTCTTACTTTATTTTCTTCCCACTGAATGAGAAACAAAAATGTTTAACCAAAAAATTGCCAGACTCAGAAGTTTTTGTTAAAGTTTCATAAGTTTTTGGTGGAAATAAACTGATTTGGAAAATTTTGTAGTGTTATTTTTTGTTACTTATATGAATAATTGTCATTTTGGTCCTTAAAATACCAAAGTTTCCACTTAGCTTTCTATTTTGGTTCCTATGATGATGTAATTTTTAAATATTAATGATTGATAATTTGATCAGTTACTCAGTATTTGAGTTGACTCTTTAACAAATCCTTTTGCTCTTACTAGAGTTCAGTTCCTGGATTCGTCTCCATGTCTGTATTTCCCTGATGGACATTTCAAACCTAAACTTCTTGTATTCTGTTTCCAGATAAGTCTGACAACATCCTCGAAGTCATCCCAAGACCCAAAGCTCAATTTCGTAAGACTAATATTTAAATGATAAATTCTGTAATGAGAAAAATACGTCAAGACTTAATTGTTTCTCATCATTGGGTGATAAATGGACCATTTTCTTGCACTAAATGAAAAGTGAAATAGCATTGGCTGACATAATGCTGCCAAAAACAAAATATTCTCCTTCTCTTGCTATTAGCTTCTTACTTTTCTTTAAAACAGAAAGTGTTTTTTTTTTTACATCAGTTCTCGTGTCTCTTTGTGCATCTGCTCTGTTTTCTCAAACTGCCTGTCGATGGTGGAAGATGGCCGCCCGCGCTGAGCCAGGTTGTGGTTCTGCTGGTGGTTTCTTCCTGTTAAAGGGAGTTTTTCCTCTCCACTGTTGCTACATGCATGCTGAGTTATCGTAAAGCCAGTGACTCAACTCCATCTGAGGGCTCCCTTAGACAGAAAACTAGAATAGGAATGGATGCATGATTGACTTGAGATGACGTGTTGTGATTTGGTATTGTATCATTAAACTGAATTAAACTGAGTCTTCATCAGTTCCAGAAACATTCATGCTGCAAGGCGACGTGGCGGTTCCTAAAGCTACCAGCAGGAATGCAGACTCCTGCTACCTGAAAGGCTGCAAGTGGCCCAAACGTGGATCCTATGTCCGTGTGCCCTACTACATCTCTACTAGCTACAGTAAGAACTTCTGTCCCTATTAGCAGGCATGCTAATAAAATATACATATTCTAACTGTATCAAATAAAACAATGCCATATGTTTACGGTACTACAGAAATCGGTAACACTTTATTTGAAGGGGGTTGAATAAGACTGTCGTGAC